CTTCTATAATCGTGGTATTCGATCGACCTATATACGCCTATAAGTACACTACACTAGGGTTTATGCACACAGCGTAAATCCGATAGTTATAAGCCTGATCGCTGCAGCCCTTTGCTAAAGCTTTCGGATATCTTACTTTACCTTCACTTTTACCTTATCTTTCTATCACTTTCGTCTTATAAGTAATAGATTTAACTAAAATACAAGCTACCTAGCTTAAATATCCACTAAAAGGCCACGTATACTAGACTTCCTAGATTACTGCTGTACAAGACTATACAGTAGAAAACAGTGTGTAGTAATACGCTAATCCTAATTAATAACCTGCTACACCGCCGCAGGAGCTGATAAAGCTATAGCTATCAGATATAGTTGATATAGACTAAAAGACCCCTATACGCCTGATTGATCTTACACTAAATCAAATATCGATCTATAGAATCCTTCTTGACGAATACAATTCGTCTAGATCTGATTTTAAGTAATATATACGATTAATTTAATCACTTAAGTATAGCATTTAAGTATCTCTTACACTAGAAGGAAGAAGAATTATTAACGGCCTATCACTACGCAATATAATTATACAGCTACGTGCTATATTCGCTCGATTAGACTAATTAAAGAATCGCTAAATCCTACGCAATTAGGATACGATAAAACGCGAGAATCTACTAATCGATTTATCTGAACTAGCTATATAGGGCTAGAAATAGATTATCTGCTAATCAGAAGGAATTCAGGCTAATATCTCTCACTTCTAAGACCCTCTTACTTCAGTCTACGACTTCCTCGAAGCTATTCAACTAAGCGACTAAGGCTTTTACACTTTCTAGTACAATACTATCCTTTAGGGCTTATAGTAGCCTATACTCACTAAACTAGTTAATCTCTTTGTTGACTAATATCAACTAATCGTATTACCTAGCTGTAGGCGAATAGCACACTAGACCTATCAGGGCCGAAACCCTGATAACGAATACGACGAAAAGCTATCGAAACTAGGCCGAAAGGGCACCTGTCTATATAAGGGTCTACTAAGCAACAGCGATCACGATTTCGATTAATACAGCTATATCAATCCACTAGTCAGACCGAATAATTAGAAGCCTAACAAGAAGGCCTAACAAGCTTTCAAAGAACGATGTGAATCATCACCGAGATTCAAAACAGCCTATAATTATATAATCAAAAAGCATTAAAAATCAGACGAATTAGAAGAATCAGACGAATTATTAACCGAAGAACTAACAGACGAATTAACTGATTCGACTAAATCAGCTAGCAGAAATATATTCGCAGTATATATTCCAAAGGAATAAGCAAAAGATATCTTCCGAGACAATAACAGCAAAGCAATAAGTACAATTTAGATTCCTGCTAAGAAAAACGACACCTAATGCTATAATACTAGAGCTTCAATCTATATTACGAATAACAGAGATCTACTGTCAAACTATACACTAATCGTTTCCTTAGTTATAGTTAGAAACATTAAGACCACAATCCTTAGCTACGGAGAGCTCATAGTCACCCTAACGAAATCTCTTAACAGAACCACCTTTCCCTTGAAAAACGTCGTATACTACCCAGGATTCTATATCAACCCAATCTCTACTAAACGTGCTGCAAACGCTGGAATCTATCACAACAGTAGAAATTACACGCTAGAAGAAGAAAATAGTATACTAATCTGTTAATTAAATACAAAATCAGGCATTTACTTAATTAAATAGGACAAATCAACTCTAACAGGGCACCCTATTACTAATCACACTGCCCTATCTTCACCTATCGCTTACCTAGCCCTCACTACTGCTTTACACAATACTGCTTTACACGATACTGCTTTACACGATACTGCTTTATACAATACTACTTCACACGATACTGCTTCACACAATACTACTTCACACGATACTACTTCACACGATACTGCTTTACACAATACTGCTATACTATATCAGCAGATTACACAAGACCTAGGGGGTAGAACCCCTATACACTCAATAAATACTACTATCAAAGATATATCTTCACTAATCAACTATTCTAAAGCATACAAACTAGTCAATTCACTATATTAAGACTCTCGATTGCCTTTATACAATATCTTTCGGATCAATCACGATCACCAGCTGAATCGACCACGAAAACCTCCTAAAAACCACGTAAAAAATGCTTACCTTCTTTCTTATAAGACCCTTTCATCTTCTCTTCTTCTGTTTTATCTCATTCAGCTCTCACTTTGATTTCATTTTGCCCTTACATCGAGAGCTGAGGGGGTGTATCAACATATATATATGTGCGTATCCCGCAATAAGCGAGCGTATATATATATGCGCGCGCTAATACAATCGGATGCATAAATCTGTATCTATATACACCGCTTCATAATATACGATACTAATTATCAACTACTACATCAAATGGAAAAAGCAACGAGTTTCCTAACACTCTTGTATACCCCCATATTATTTCGGACTTTCATGACTCTTTTCCTGTGATATTCTGCTATGTACCTTAAGTTATAAATACTGCCTGTTTCCCTAGTTAAATTGAATAAGTTTGACACTATTTTCACTCACGAATAGAGCTCAAGGCAATTCTGATTAAACTGTGTTGACCCTCCACTGTTCAACCTGTTCACTGCCGACCCACCTCTATTGCACTTTCGTCGCTCTTCCATAATCGTGGTATTCGATCGACCTATGTGCGCCTACAAGCACACCACACCAGGGTATATGCACACGGCGTAAATCCGACAGATTCTTATTAGTAGTGCCTTCAAATCCACTAGTACAGCCGCGCTTAACGTAGAGCTCTTTATTACACTAATATACCTACCTATAGATTAAATCATTCAGGAAACAGCAATACGAATCTAAACAGGAGCCGCTTAGGCCTAACTAGAGTGTCTACGTCGACAGCGTTCCCCGCAGGAAATCAGGGAAGGGGGATGGAGCCCTCTCGAAGCCCTTTAGTAGAAGAAAGACGGTAGTTTAAACTAGCAAGGGACGTGGGAATCGCGTAAAGCGTTCGTTCTAGCGCTATAGGAGGCACGGATCCTATACGTTATTAAAGATACAGAGGCTACGCGGGCCTTGTATAATAAGATTGAGACAGATTCTCTATCCTAACAGGCCCTCTCAGACTATACCCCGACAGTTATCCAGGATCGCCCCCGAACGATTCTGTTCTTTACGGATAGTAGTAGATACAAGGGCATAGTTGGTGTATCAGCTGTTGCCCCGCGTAAGGGCATCTTTCAACGGCGGCACATTAGAATAGCCGACGAATCTATAGTGTACGTCGCTGAGCTTAACGGTATTTGAATAGCGGTGGCTAAGTTCGTTAACTAATATCAGAATCACACTAGGCCTACAAGGCTTATTATTTTCTCCGACTGCTAGGCCGCTATCTAGGCGGTGTAAAACCTAAAGCTATCGTTAGGCTAGTTCGTGCTTAACAGTATTTACGATCACGTACGAACCCTTCGATCGCTATAGCAAACGCCTACGTTTGATCAGATTCCTATCGAGATCCGTTGGATCCCTATATACGTAAGCGTTCCTAGCAACAAGACTGCCGACGTTGAAGCAAAGTTAGCAGTAACTAGAGGTACGGTAGGGTACAGGTCGGATCAACCTTAAGCTAGTGATTCGGCGGGTGGTAAATCCCCTAGCGGTCGAGTCCTTCTAGCAACGACTGTAAAGCGTCGAGTGCGGCGGCGTATTAAAGAGAGATAGGCACAAGAGTAGGCAAAGGAGCGAACTAGTAAGCCGAATCAACGATTAGTTAAAGCTCTAGACAAGAAGGTGCTCCGGCTATTTAATTCCCTTTCGAAGCTATACACCTGGATTTTGATTCAAATACGATCTATGCGCATTGCACTGAATCATTTCTTATTTTAGATCAAGGCAGTTAAATCAGATAAGTGTTACTGTAAAGAAGGGTCTTAAACCCCGAGATATATCTTAATGCAGTGCCCGTTGTGCGCTAATCTGAGGCAGACCTTCCTTGACAAGATCCGGATGACCGATCTTAGGGATTCGACGGATTATGATACAGTCGTATCACACTCGCAGGTCACCCGCTACGTAGCCGAACTTATGCTTCAAACAGGCCTACTAGGACAGTTCCGGCACGTCGAAATCGAGCCAGAGCCCCCGCAGGGCGAAGGAAACGATCCGCTAGGATGATCTGGCGACGGTACAGGGGGTGAAGACGCTGGGTAGGAGGAACGCCAAACCTACGGCTAACCGAGAGGTCGTAGAAGAATACATCCAACACAGCGACACACCAGTCGACAACGAACGCTACTAATTGAGAACGAAGCAGGAGGGATACCTGGGATGGAGATGCGGAGGAAGCGGCAGGCCATGTGAGGACGAATTGAGAGATATATTGTGGGCATGAGGGCTTTGAGGGCGTTCTGGTACGGTTTTTGGGCTGATTTTGGGCTGATTTTCTCTGGCAAGATGCCGTTTTCCTATGTATTTACTGTTTCATGCGCAGGTCAGGCGTTCGGATCACTCTTGCTTCCGCCGGAGGGAGCGCCTGCATAGCCATTACGCCACTAGTTAGGCTGCAACCGGTTAATAGAGTGTTGATTGATTGATTGCTCGACGTACACTTCAACGCATTGTGAATAACGAAAAATCTCGAAGTACAGGGTCGTAGAGACCTGGCGAAAGCGAAGACATTGATTCAACCAGGAGCGGATGGCAGGTTGTTTTACCAATGACTATCACTAAAATGTACTGAAGCTCTTGTACCCAGCCTCCCTCTCCCCACGAAGAATATTGCGGAATCTGCCGAGACCGCCTGAGTAAAAAAGGACTGCCTTCTTCTTACCCTTCACATTTGCACCAATGATCCACGAATCTGTCTTCTTAAACATGCTTCCCTCGCTAGCCTGGTCACAAAACTTCGCCCATTAATCCTCGGCTTCCTTAGTTGCTTTAACCTCAACAGGTCGCTTGCCATCATCGCCGGCCCTAGTTTCGTCGCGCTTCGGCATGGGCGATGATATCGGTAATGAATTCCACATGCCATTCGATGGATGGGGGTATATTTGCGAAGACTGTTCTGGGGCCGTTCACCATGAACAAGTTGGGAAAGTCGGCCATGGCGCAGCCCAGGTAGGTACGAGGCTCAATTTCCCAGCGAGCCTGCAAGGTCTTGCCACCCCGGCCTCTGGTACCCAGTCGGGAGTAGCTGCGTCCACGGCATCAAATCCAGTAGCGCAGATCACAGGATCGAGTTCGTGGTTAACGCCGTCAGCAGTTTTGGGGCCAGCGGCCGTGAATTTAAAGAAAGGAGTTGCCTTGAGGTCCACAATGTCCACATTCTCGCGATTGAAGGTCTCATAGTACCCGGAATCGCAGAGCGGCCAGCGTGCGTAAAGTGTGGTTGGGTTCAGTTTCTGAGCCTTCTTGGGATTCTTGAAAATCTGGTCGATCTTCTTGCGGATGAGATCGCAGGCGGTTTTGTTGGCCGCTTCGCTCGTGGTAAGGTCTTTGAATGTCCAAAAGACCGAGAAGGATTGTCTTTCTTTCTATGACCCTTCAAGAGGATATAAGTGGTTCTGAAGTTAACAGTTTCAACATCAAGATGGCTATCAATTCGCTGATCTCGTGGCAGTGTGAATTTGCTGTTGCTGTCACAGATATTCTGACGTTGTTGTACCCGCGCTCACAGAACGTGAGGCTCAGAAGCCCACGCATTTTGGATGATCATTGGAGTAAGCTGAAACAGCTTAAAGATAGTCTTGGCTGCTGGAATGACGGCTTCGTGAGCTGGGCACAGTGTCAGGGTTCTTTGGCCCCACCCCTTGATCAAGCTTTTTATTTGCTCGATATCAATACATTGCCAGTATGTCAGACCTTGAATGATCCTCTGAACGCAACTAACAGAGCAACATAGAACAGTGCGCTTGGCTCTGTGTGCATACGCTTCACATGTTTTGTCAGAATGGGTTCATAGAAATCTCGCATCAAAGGGTATGGAGCTTCAAAGCGGTCTTTTCAAGATGACCGAGGAAATCAAAGACATAATTGATTCAAAAATGGCGGAATATCTTCCCGTCAGCATGTATGTTGAGTTTCCCAAGTTTGTTCCTATGAAATTCTTTTTAGCCTGCTAATATCACCACCCTCTGTCGTTTCAAATAACAGAGTGGCTTTTACTGCATTACCAATGATTCTGTGGGGTATTAGCGTTGCTGTCTCCTGTAAAACAAGCACACAGCGTCAGAACACCTTTCAATTTTCTCTTTTCAAACAAATGAGTTACATTTACAGCTTACGATACGATATGAAGCACCTCTCCGCAGTTGTCGGGCGAGTGGTTCAATCGATCAAGCCAGCGCTGATGACAACAATCTTAAGTGCGAAGAGCGACAATATGGCAACGTCATTCCTGGAAAACTTGATACCGCACCCTCGCACGTTTTCCGAACTTTGTTTGTATCTTGATGTATTACTCTCCGCAGGTGGCAGGACAGAAGCGCCATACATATCGGACCCCTCTAGGTTGACACCTATTTTCCGAGAGATTCAAAGGCCTCAGCCAAGCTCTTCTGAGTGAGCTGATGTTCATGCAGTCACAAATTCAGACCCACTAGAAGTACAGTCATCGACACCAAATCTGGATGAGCTGGGTCCACTCCATCCAGCATTCGAACATCTTTTGGCAAGCTGGGAAGAAGCAGAGATCTTGGATAATTGTGAGGACATAGAAGGATTTGACCACATATCCTCAGACATTTCCATACCAAAAGTCGAACCGCCACCAAATTTACAGGAGCCGGAAGATTTTGGTCAATTTTATTGGAGCGTGGATTTTCTAAGGTAAGAAATGTTCTATGGAAATCCAACAGGACAGAAGGATACCTGGAAGGCAATATGTGCTAACTCTATATCTCGCAAGATGAGTCATGTAATAGCCCATCGCAGTTTTCACCTAGGGTTCCTTTAGCAACTTGAGCTTTTCATTCATCACTGGAGCATCCGTGTAATCCAATGCTGTTTAGAAAATACTATGAGCCCCTTTCTCCAGTTAGAAGCCTTTTTAAGTCTCCCTCGTGAGGCCACGTAGTATTCACGGTAGCTATCCCGCGAGCCAACCTACCTGCCGATTGCTCCTAGGGTTGCTATCAAATCTATACAGGTCTACTCTCGATCGCAGAGCGGATATAAATACTCACTGCCCTCGAACAGCCTCCTCTGCAGCATTAACAATATTCTTAGCCAGGCCGTTTCTAGGGTTGGAAGAAAACTATGATGCCTTACTACTCATTTAAACGATCGCTTTACTGCAATCATCGTCGACTGGAATCAGCGTGGGGGTTGTGGCGTCTAATCGGTCAAATTGCATTTGAAAATATGCAAGGCATTAATATCGCGTCACATATCTAAGCGGTTGGTGGGTCTTTCAGGACATTCCCACTTATGGCGGAGGCCAAATTCCAGTCCACATCGGCAGATTTTATCCTGCCGAGCTTTATAGGAGGAGAAGAAGATAACCTAGCTTTGGGAGCATTGTAGAGCATCAAGAATGAGAATTTCCTCTCTGACGCGAGCATCTCACTAGCAACTATAATTTCATGGAGCATTGTAGAGCATCAAGAATGAGAATTTCCTCTCTGACGCGAGCATCTCACTAGCAACTATAATTTCATGGGACCATATTTTACCAAGACAAATATGACAATCACGATCCATCAAAAGCGTTCCCCGAGGCTTATTGTGACCTATGCTATCTGTGGGCAAACACCACCGGTACGATCTCAAGGCAAACTTCAATTTATGTAAACCGTCGGGGAGCTTTTATGGACAATGTTCAGAAATTTGTGGTATACTTCACAGTTCTATGCCTATTGCTATACAGTCTGTTTGAATAAACTTCCTTCGATGAGTAAGAGATCAGGTGGAAGGATAGAATATAATAAAATTTATTTATTCGTTATATATCATAGATTATTTGTGACAATCGAGCTCGGGACCAGAAATGGTTGATACTGCATGCACGGGTATGAGCACAAGCTAGCCAAATCGGGCCTAGATCAAGAAACCCCTAAGCAAGTGGTCTCCTTGTCTATTCTCTTTCTCCCCTTAGTCTAATATTTTTGTTGAAACGCAGCAGTTGATTTGATTAACTTCCGGGCACGCCAGAGTTCGATATAATACTAGTTTTAAAAGTATCTAGTTTAATATTTATATAACGTAATTCCCGGTCACCCTGGCCACCCCATCAGAAAACGCGTCAATCCACCAACCTACCAATTTCAACCAACTACCATGCCGAGTGTATAGCTGGTATCTATTATTGAAGGACCCACCATCGACTATTGAAAAAACGCGCTAAGCCGCTTTCAGAACCAATTATCGAGGTCAGCTCCCGAAACAGGCTTAGTGGAATGTATTAAACAGACGAATACCCACAGTAAAATTCCTCCTTTTTAGTTAATGCACCAAATTTGCACAGCACCTATTACACGGCAGAAATGGCTTCTATACACAGCCAATTGAGTGCGCTTGATAAGGAGAACGACCGAATGATTAGAGAGCGAGAAGAGAGGGAATATAACGCTTAGGTGAGGCGCTGCCTGGTGGATATCTGGTAGATATCCACCAGATATCTGGTCTCTTCACTACTAACTTCTATTAGTGGTTACTATATTAAGATAGGCTAACTTAGCTTACAGAGAGTAAGCTGTCAATATGTGTGTGTGTGTGCGTATCCCCGCAATAAGCGAGCGCATGCATGCGCGCGCTAATGCAATCGGATGCATAAATCTGCATCCCTATACACCGCTTTATGATATACGATGCTAATTATTAACTACTGCATCAAATGGAAAAAGCAACGAGTTTCCTAACACTCTCGTATGCCCCTATATTATTTCGGACTTTCATGACTCTTTTTCTGTGACATTCTGCCATATACCCAAAGTTATAAATACTGCCTGTTTCCCTAGTTAAATTGAATAAGTTTGACACCATGTCCACTCACGATTAGAGCTCAAGGCAATTCTGATTAAACTGTGTTGACCTTCCACTGTTCAACCTGTTCGCTGCCGACCCACCTCTATTGCACTTTCGTCTCTCTTCTATAATCGTGGTATTCGATCGACTGTGCGCCTACAAGCACACCACACCAGGGTTTATACACACAGCCTAAATCTGATAGTTATAAGCCCGATCGCTGCAGCCCTTTGCTAAAGCTTTCGGATATCTCACTTCACCTTCACTTTCACCTTATCTTTCTATCACTTACGTCTTATAAGTAATAGATTCAACTAAAATACAAGCTACCTAGCTTAAATATCTACTAAAAAGCCACGCACACTAGACCTCCTGGATTACTGCTGTATAAGACTATGCAGTAGAAAACAGTGTATAGCAATACGCTAATCCTGATCAACAACCTACTACGCCGCCGCAGGAGCCGATAAAGCTATAGCTATTAGATATAGTTAATGCAGACTAAAAGACCCCTATACGCCTGATTGATCTTACACTAAATCAAATATCGATCTATAAAATCCTTCTTAACGAATACAATTCGTCTAGATCTGATTTCAAGTAATATATACGATCGATTTAGTCTCTCAAGTAAGGTATTCAATCATCTCTTATACCTAAGGGAAGAAAGATTATGTAAGGATATACTCTATAGGTCAGGATAGAGGCCTGTCAATCAGGTAGGAGAAATAGAGCTAAGTTAATAGTGTAGAAAGGTCAAGACTGTTTCTTGAGGATCGTAAAACCTCTTTAACATAGGTCAATTTATATACAGTCTTATCGCTCAAACAGGAAGGAGATGTATCCTTAGTAGGGAAATAGGAGCGGGGTGAAACACGAGGCTTATGTAACCTCTGTTAAGGGTGTTCCCTGCAGGAGTTCGTATATATACTAATGCCGAAGCCCTAGCGAGCCTCCACAGAAAGCCTGCCGGCTTATCAGGTCCGGGAAGCCTGATGCACTAACACATAGGGAAGGCCTGCCGGCTTATTAGGCCCGGGAAGCCTGAGGCACTAACACTTAGGAATAACCTTATGCTAGGATATATTATAACAATTATCCTCCCTCTAAGGATCGCTTACCCTTAAGCGAGGTAAACAGACGCGTAAACAATTATAAAGAGTAGCAGTTAAATAAGGAAGGAGCGTGTAGGCGGAAATAGGGGAAGGTTAACACTAGGGGGTTGCCTAGTGGAGGGGTAAACAAAGGAGATACGTTTCTTTGTTGATATTACTAATATTACCCTCTCCTTTTCTTCTTCCTCCTTTATCCTCTTCTATCTCTTTTCCTATACCCTTATCAAGACGCACCCTTTCGCTATCGTTTCACTATCTATTCGCCCCCGAAAACCTTACAATACTACCTAAAACCCGCACTACTACTCGTCCTCTCCTAGATAACCCTATTTTTATAATAATCCTCTAGTGTATACACTGTCTACGTACAACGATCGCTGAGTAGGACGTGACCCTAGGCTTACCTTTCGCTGTAGAGTATATTCGCGATACTAAGGCTTCGGTTTCGTATAAGTAGTGTTCCGGCCGCGCTTCGATATATATTCCTGTAGGTTTCGCTAAGTTCTTTAAAGACAAAAGCTAATAATTCTGTAGGCCGCGACTACGATACTAGGAGATTGTCAGGACCTAAATCTTGTGTTCGCGTAGGCTCGGCGGGTGTTCTAGACAGTTAACCCGGCTGAT